CTGGGCTACAGACCACACGGTGGCGGCAGACACAGTCTTAGTATGACCAGGGCCGTCTACTCCCACCCCACGCAGGCCTGATTTTGACCCCACTGGGTGACTCTCGGGTGATATGCGGAAACATACCCTCGCGAAAATTGTTAAGAGTGAACATTTCAAGGGGAAGCAGCCTTCTAGGCAATGCCATGTTTGTGCAATTCACAAGAAAAGGAGTAGGACTGCCTACATTTGCAAGTTTTGTGTAATGTCACTTCACAGAGGGGGATGTTTCGAGAAATATCACACCCTCAAGCACTTCTAGAAGCATTGGTAAGTGTTCTTAAAAAATTTTAGTTCATAAAATTAATTAGGAGATTTTATATTAATTTTTAAAGTGAACAGTGCACAAGTTAGGGTAGTAGGTATAAAAATGCCGGTCCGCAAAGTGTTAATTACTTCTTAATTCAATCATATTTGTTAAGAGATTTCTGACATATGTTTATTGTATGATTTCTGTTCTCTTGATTTATATAATGACAATTTACTTTGTTCAGCTTGCGACGGGAGTACCCACCTCTCTCCTTACTACAGCTTCAGAAAATGATTGACACAGATCGTCTGGATGTCTCGCAACCAATTGATTTGTCACTTATGTGCAATACAGGATTATATAAAATGGATCCCCATCATAAACATTTTGGCATTCAGTTGACAGATGAGGTAAGACAGCAGACTTTAGGTTGTCATGGCACTGAGTGTTTGCTGGGATGTGATACTGCAATGTAGTTTTCACCCTAAGACATTATCCTAAGCACTCTCTTCTACACTGAAGGAGGAGGCAGCAGGTTCCTCCAAGGTGGTACCTATCTAAAAATCTACATGCCATCACATCTCAGAAGACTAATCAGAATTCCAACACTGTTTACCTTTCTTGGTTGAACTTGTCAGTTTCTAAATAAATACAGACATATAGATCTAACTTGTATATATATACAGATCAACCAATCTGTATCACTTGTTATTCACCGATTAATCCCTGATGATGTAGACAGTGCATTCTCCACACCAGAATTTAATTTTATCCAGTTTTATAAGAACAGCTTATGATATTAAAATACATAGTTCATTTAGCTCTGTAACCTCAAAGTACTTTAAAATGTTATATGATCAAGTTAAATGTAATAAAATATCTTAAAGAAATAATGTGAGAGGGTGTCAGTTGTGTTTATTTGGCTCAGAATAAGGACCATTGACAGTCACCTGTGAACATAGTAGTGAATGTTCAGGTCTCTGAAGTCAGGGAATTTCTTGACTAGTTCAGTAATTGTTAGTTTCTCTGTTCCTGTAATTACAAGCCTATGTAGACTTCTGATGAACAATGAGAATATATATATTAAATATGGACAAAGACCAGGCATTGCACGTAAGTACCACACCCATCAAGATGAAACATACAAACATGCAGGTGAAGGGACATTACCTCAGCATAAGTAATTTCTTTCATTTTATGCAGCATGACCAGAATACCTCAAAAGTATATGATTTTCATGTGCAGATATTCGACATGTGACATGTTACTGTTTGTAGATTTAATGCACATTTTCTTGGAATATAATTTTCACCTTAAGATCTAAAAGTTTGTGACAATGGTACATTGCTACAAGTATTATGTTTTTGGACATTTTCCAGCATCCCGTCTATTTTCTAAAAACTGTCCTGTTTGTTTTTCAAAACACAACGTTTCGGAGACTGGATTCTGTCCCCATCCTCAAGTAAAACCTACTCAGTTGGGTCCAATAGATGGAGCTAGTCTCTGGATGTCCGGAGATAGGGACTAGCTCTATCTATTGGACCCAACTGAGTAGGGTTTACTTGAGGATGGGGACAGAAGCCAGTCTCTGAAACATTGTTTTGAAAAACAAACAGGACGGTTTTTAGAAAACAGACAGGACGATGGATAATGTCCAAAAACATAATACTTGTAATTTTAACCTTACCATAAATATGTTCAAATGCAACTAAAATTAGTTGTTGTGGTATCCAGCATATACCACAACTTGACAAAGCTGAGATTTAAATGGATAATATCCCAAATATGTAAAGTGTTACCAGTACACCAACCTGCCTGGTCTGACAAACTTTACATGCATAATTTAGGAAAAGTTATTTATCAGTCCACTGAATTTGTAACATATGTATACATATGAGGCCCTGAGGTGAATTTTTGTCCAGACACTTCAGTTTTTCCCTTGGCAGTTATCATTCCACCAATGTTCTATACTCATCTATCACCAGGGGCTGACACAATAGGCCCATTTGTGGCTGCAGTATGAAGAGACTCTGTCTCACCCCAATCTTAAACAAAGATGGAACTCTGTATCCCAGTGTATGCTATCAGAATGCTTTCAACTATATGTGCAGGGAGCAGACATTTTCAAAGCAAAAGTAAACATAGAAGTTCAGTGGGCATCAGAACCAGTCATTGCTGCCATCGAGAGAAATGGAGGTGTTATTACAACAGCTTATTATGATGTTCACAGTCTTTGGGCTGTAATCAATCCTAAACATTTTTTCAATAAAGGTAAGTTGCAGTAATGAAATAAATTATTAGCAGATTATGCACCATATTCCTGTGACCATTATCTTATACATAAAGGCTAGTTAAGGTTTGTGCTCACAGTGGATATACCTCGTGTCTGACAGACAGCGTTAACATGAACTTTGTAGCTAAAAAAAGGCTTGAAGAAAGAGGGTGGGGAATGAAGTTATAAATGAAATGAGTACCCAAGAGAATACATCTGTCTATTCCCTAAAATGTCACAGCTTCATAATGGAATATCCAAAGATTTCTTACAAGAAAATGTTAATGTAGTCTGATCTTTGTGTTGGTGTGTGAATTTCCATGAATTTTTAACATGCATTATGCACTAGCTGCCACATATCAGCCAAAAGATTACTGCCTGATCAATACAATGTAACTTACTTTACTCCACAGAAGAGCTCTGAAAACCAGATAAGATAGTGCTCCGTTTCATGAATTGCATGATTTTCTGTTTACATAGCCACAAAATTCCTTTAGTATAAAATCATTTAAATAATATTTAAAAATTAATTTCCTTCCTGACAGAAAATACACTGCATACACATTACAAAAACAAAATGGTTAATACTGTCTAGGGCAGTAATCACAGTATATTCTGAGAATAATATGACCTAAATATATTATGTGAGCAAATGTAGTATGACACACTACTGCAATCCAGCTGGCTAAGTATTTTGTTTCTTTCAATATCAGTGCTGTTGTCCCTCAGATAAGAGTTGCAGTTCTGTAGCACCAGGTGACTTCTGTAGTCCCAAATGATAAAAGGTTAGAAATAGGAATGTGTATCAAGATTCTCGCTTTGAATGCTGAATTTTCATTTTCAAACTTTGAGGGTTTCTGAGTAAATGCTTTTGCTTTGTGCAATAACATGCAGACTTATCAACCAGAATCGTACATGGACATGGCCCTAGATTTAAAGTTTTTAAATACAATGAATTATGAAAATGCTTCATTGAAAATGGATCTGGTATCAGATGTGTTATTAGTATATTTTTGTGCATTGTAAAAAGTGGATAATATTACATGATTTGATTACAGTGAAAAGATTCCTATTGTATAGAAAATTCTCGTTCTTGTCTTAATTCTTGAAATGTTTTTGAATTGTCATCTCAAGATGAACCAGCCATTCTAGCATGTCTACTTAAAAATATTACGGAATGAGATGTGCAGTAGAAGGATGCTATATAATATTAAGATAGCTGATGTGTGTCAGCTGTTTTGGCCATTACACTTCCCTGAACAGCATTTCATCTTATTAATGTGACAACTGGACACTGTTTTGTATAGGAGAGGCAATTCCACGCCGCATGCTGCCACCAGAGGATGCAGTAGATTACTACACAAACCCTGCTAATCGTGGTTACCTGGCAGATCCTGAGAAGATTTCCTGGGAGCGTCTGGTGTTGGCACAAAAGTATGGTTATCAGTTGCCAGTACTTGAAAATGATCCAGATTATGCCATGCTCACCCAAAGGAAGGATCCAAGGCAGATATTTCTAGGACTTGAACCTGGTTGGGTGGTGAATCTTCGTGATCGTTGCATCCTCAAACCCACAGATGAACAACTCAAAGAATTTTATTGTTCATAGCCTATGAACAAAGCAGCCGTTATTAATGCAATTAACATAATGAATTAATATAAACAAAATATTTGTCTCACCTGTCTCAAAGGATTTTGTTTTTAATTTGTCTTTATAATATTGCATACATCAGCTACTAAATTGTTTAACAAAAATTTTTTTGCCGACGAAAAATACAAATTACAATACTACAGGTTTTCTTTTTTAATCAGTATACAGTGAAACATCGCCACAGTTTGATACGTTGCATTATTCAAAATGATTTAAACAACAAGGATTTCACAGTGGTATTATAATACCTACTTTCCCCACATACAATGACCCCTTTATGGATCAGCTTATGTAAAGGTTTCCAAAGGGATGTAACTATAAATATTGGTTACTTAATGGTGGTACACAGATATAAAGGCTGCTCTTGCGCAGTAAAGTCTTTTATTTTCCTTTAACTGTGCAATCAGTGTAAGCAAGTCATTATTCAAAACGCAAATTTAGCAATGTATATTTGTTGCTGGAATCACAACTACCTTCTATACAGGCAGCCATTTCTGTTAACAGTATGTTATAAATCATAATACACTGATGACTGAATCAGATTGTTCTTCTCAGTTCTTTGCCTTATCATCCGAACACTCTTGTAGTTATCCACATAACTGCCTTGCAACGTTCAAAAGTGTTCATATATTATGGAACATTATGATGGACTTGTTTAATGAATTTCCATTAAATATCTTGATTACAGAAAAGTGAGATGGCTTTTACATTTGGATGTGGTACAATCTATGCATAAACAGATATACATTAAAGTGACATTAGAAATTCTGGGTGTAGTATGCATAGAGATTAAGTATAAAAAATATACAATGAAGCAAGTCATTCTGTAGCTGCACATTTTCCTAAGATTCAGAAGAGGAAGAACTCTCACTTTTATCTTTAATTATGCAAAGAAACAGATGAATTTTTTTAAAGACGTGCTCAGTTTCAAGAATATAAATTCATCTGTACCCTAAATAATTCATAATTTTATTCACAAACAGAAAAAATACTGATTTATTTAAATTTTGAATCAAAACTTGCAGAGATTATATTTAACAGTTTGAGTTGTTTAAAAACTCTTGTGCATAAAATAACTATAATAAGACTCATATTAACAAGCCATCTGTTAAGAATGTACAGCAAAATAACCAAACTTAATTTCTTGACATAATTCTTTCACACACACACACACACACACTTTCTCTCCTTTACACAATTCTATAAGAGAGTAGATTAGCAATATTAGTGTCTCTTTGGAGTCATACAATCTGCCAATATGCATACTGTTGTTCTGTTTCACAGGAAAGTCCTTTACAATAAATGAAGGCTCAAGTGTAGAACAGTCTCTTGGCATGAGGTTATTTCTTACAACACCTTTACATTATGGGGATGAAAAAATAAATAAAAAATATTTTAATTACAGCATTATTCACAAAGAGGCTCAGTTAGCAGCTTAAATTACTTACACCAATGGGCAGGCGTTTACTCATACTGTTGCGATTCTATTGCACAGCGGCCAGCTACAAATTTCAGTTAAGGCCACAGTTACCGTAGAGAACGTTGTCAAGATCTTATTTACGGGCTGACTAAATCCACCAACCATTCGACCACCTACCCATTCAAGAGATACTACACTGTATTATAAAATTCTAGTACAAATTTGCATAATTAACTGGACACGGGTAGTAATCTTATCAGTAGTATTCACTGTACTACAATATACAACATGTTGCAGTAAGTATATGTAATTAAACAATACAGCCATTTATAACTCTGTTTATTATTCTGAAAGGGCAGGTAGTGGAAACAGTCATGAGTTTTATAAATCAAACCTAAAACACTTCCAGAAACAAGATATATTTTCAGCCCTAAAGCAAGTGGCCTTAATCCTTTGACCACTGTGTCCCAGATATCCCAGGCTATCACAGAATATAATGCACTGCTTCACCCAGGATATCCCAATCTGTAACCTACACTTTCTTAATTTTCCTGATGATATCTATATGCTCAGCTGTACATACCCTGCCATCTTTCGACAAACACTTTTTAAGTATCTGTATGTTCCTGATGAGTCTGAGCTAAGAAATACTATTCAGCGGTCAAAGGTTAATGCACACTTACAGGTTTGTTCTTCATTTTAACTGTTGACCCTGTCCGATGGTCAGTCTACCAGACATCTGTCCCACCTGGCCAGACCACATTTTGGCTGAGACATTAATGACCACAATGTCTCAGCAGTCTGATGAATTTTGGTCTGGCGGCACAGATGGTTTCTTGCTTCGGGTTAGTCGGTCCAGCTCGGCCGCTGCATCTGAGCGCATGACTGCCTTGTCCACAGATGTGTGGGGTCGATCATTTGACAGGTCAGCTGTAAGCATTTCTACATATTAGATCAAAACTTTATTGAACTTTGCAAAGACTATATAATTCTTAAAATGTAATATATGAGGGCTATTCAGAAAGTAACTTCCAGTGAGCTGTTAACAAAACAAGCAATGAGAAAAAAATAGTTTATTATACACATAAAATATATACACACTTAAGCTACTTCTCAATGTAGTCACTTCAAGAACTGAGGCACTTGTCATATGGAGAAATAACTTTTTGTATGCCTGTGTCAAAGAAGTCTGCCACCTGTAAGCTTGGCCATGTTTTGACACCTTGCATCAACTCATCATTGAAGCACTATGATCCCAACCAGTTCTTCAGGTAGGTAACCAGGTGGTAGTCAACATCAGGGCTGTAAGAAGGGTGGTCAAACAACTCCCAGTTGAAACGCTCCAGCAATGCTCAAGTGGAAGCAGCCATATGTGGACACACATTACAATGAAGAAGCACTACACCAGGTGTCAGCATTCTGCAATTTTCTTAGCGTTTCACAGTACACTTCTGAAATTATTGTGGTCCTTTGTTGCCTGAATTTCACCATCAGCATTCCTTTCCTGTCCCAGAAAACAGCTGCCATCAGCTTTCTGACAGACATTTGTTTAAACTTTATCAGCTTGTTTGGTGAATGTATGTGCATCCACTGATTTATTTACTCTTCAGTTTCAACATTCACAAACTAAACCCAGGTTTCATCACCTGTTATTCATATGATGTGATTGAGAAATTCATTTGCATCTTTGTGGTGCTGCTCTTAAAGAAAGTCAAAGTTGAAGCCATTTTCTGCATTTTGTGTCCACCCATAAGCACTGTTAGAACCTAGCCTAACTGTGACAGTCTTGTAGAGAACAGTATGTGAAATTTGTGAAAATTCACACAGAAGTTCTGAAATTGTAAACCGCTGTCTTTCACAAATTTTTCGGTCAACGCTTTGAAGAAGGTCAACACTCACTACAGATGGCCAACCACTTCACTCTTCATCATGAACATCTGTTTGCCCATCTCGGAACATTCTACACCACTGTCTTATGGCTCCTTCACTCATCACATTTTGGCCAAAAACCACGCACAATTCATAACAGACTTCCGCAGCATTCATGTTTTCAGTGTGAAGAAAGTGGATAACAGAATGAATTTTGCATCTGGTGGGATTATCAATCGCAGGACACATCATAACTCACTCTATAGAGAACAAACATTATATGATCAGTTATGTGATAAAGAAAGCAGACTTTGGGATGTGGCACCATGTAGATATTGTGTTAACCAACGTTTCGGAGGACCGTATCACCTCCATCTTCAGGGTAGAAGAAAAAGAAGAAACCTGCGAGCGAACCAGCATGAGCAGATGCTAACAGACTAAGTCAAGCAGGTTTCTTCTTTTTCTTCTACCCTGAAGAATTTGAAATAAATTGAACTGAATTGAAGATGGAGGCGATACGATCCTCCGAAACATTGGTTAATAATATATCTACAAGGTGCCACATCCCAGAAGACTGTTTTCTTCATAGTCACTGCCATGAAGATTTCATATCTTACATAGTTATGTGATGGTTTACAATGCAATTAGCCATGTGACGCTACCTTGCATGTGCAAGCTCTCCCCCACTCATTATATTAGTTGCCTAAAATAAATAGAGGTTACTTTCTGAATAACACTTGTTTATATGAATATAGCACATCATGAGTTGCCAGTAGTTAAACTTAATATATTCTATCAAACCTGCTGATTCTAAAAATCAGTACAATAAATATTTATTAATACAACTTCCCATGGATTTGGAACAAAGAGTGTTATGTAGAAAATATTCTTCATACATTCATGGTGTCTACTGGCTTGGTAAAGTAGAATTTCAAGATCATTTTTTACAAAATATATGCCATGGAGATTTAAAAAAAAAATATTCCTATGAGAATATTTTACTTGGTCTCCAAACTGCAAACATAACAAATCTTACAGTACAAGAAAAAATGATGTGACAATTTTTCTTAATATCTCCTGGCTATACAGATTAGTCTCATAGCCTGTTACAGTTTCATCATACTTTTCTCATTCTAAGAAACATTTCAACTTCAATTTTCAGCTTTGAGTCTTAAACTGAAAAATAGTTAGGGCTATTAATTTCAATCCATCTGTCTGAAACTGTTAATAACTTCTAATTTAGTAGTCATTTTCCTTTGACAGTGAGAAACCTTTATAGTGAACTCCACATCTAAAACATTTCTTAATAAAATTGCATTTATCGTAACTAAATATGAGTGAGTGATACAATAGGCCAGAAGTGGCCGCAGTACAAGGGACTTAGTCCCACGCCACTAGCAATAAAAAAAAAGTATGAGTGAGAGTCGTTAAAATTATGGTCTTGTGAAATGTGATGCCGAATCATATAGTAGAAAAGTACCAGTGTTTCTCTGAAATATTTATCTACCATAAGACAAAACATCAAATTCCAGAAGACCATGATCTCAGTATTTGCCATGAGAACCGCAAATCACATTCTCACATACAATTCTGATGATTCATGATATTTATCTGTTATGGTTCCAAATGGGAGGGGACACCACCCTGGTGATGTATTACCAACAGATAAGATTTTAATGGATGGGTAGTTGTGTGCTACTGTTAAAAGCAAAAGCAGTAATGTATCTAAAATTTCTCAATGTTAGAGATTAAAGAACAAAAATATTTTTTTTTTCTCAATTCAGTCTTTAAAATTCTAGACTTGCCCATGCCAATAAAATATAATTTTAACTCTCTGAAACCCTCTGCCTAAATTATATTTGAAAATTCAGCTCCAACCTCACAGAAAATATACTGTATCCATTATAAACACCAGTTAATGCAGTTTGAGGAAATAATTGCTGCTAACTGTGAAACTCGTATGAAATGCACAAATACAGTCTGCATGAAAAATGTTGACTTTTACACTAATCCTGTAAGTGTCTACTGTTAAAAATTTTCAACCTTGTATGCCTTTGTGCATATACTTATCACTGCTACAGTTAACATGTATCATGCCTTTAAACCACTGCAATTATGTTCATGTATAATTAGCCAAATATGAAATCACCAAATTAGATGTTTGAGTGCAAATGATAAATTTATATCTCACTGCAAAAGCTACAGGATTTGAATTCATGATGTCTGGTGACAGAACTCTTATTCACTGCTTTTTCATTACCTCTACAAACTCCAGACACCCAGATGCTCAAATGGTCAAGTTATTCAAGTTTTTGAGAATTCCACAATCATCACCTGACATTTTAGGTGCTGGTGATCCTGTTCCAGTTTTCTTGTGCAGAAGAGAATTAAAGAAGTTGGCCAGTACACCTTCTCCACTGCCCGTCACACCAGGTTTGCTTCCATCAATCTGTTAACAAGTTGTACCACAATATTCAGTATATGGTTGTAATTACAAGTATTACAATTTGAAGTGCTCATCCAACCTTTAGCAGCCATGTGCTGCATTAGTGCAATGACATGGATGCACTCCAACAAACAAACATTTAATTTTTTCAGCTATCAACCCCCATAGTACTGAAGATTTAAAATCCCCTATTCCCAGACTCCTTATGCTCTGTGAAATGGCATCTGTTTCAATACCACACAAAATACGAGGGTAAGTCAATAAGTAAGTTACAAATGGATATAGAACTTAAACAAATAAGAGTACTGATTTGAAAAATGCTTTTATTTCTCAACATAATCTCCCTGTACATTGAGGCACTTGTACCATTGTTTCACAAGCCCCTGAAATCCAGCAGTATAAAATTCTTTGGGCTGCTGTTGGAACCGGGCGACACAGGATGTTTCCACTGCATTGACACACGCTTTGTCTCGGGCTGGTAATGGTGAACCCTAGATTCATCACTGTAACAATTCGAGCTAGCATATCGTGTCGTTCAGTGTGGTAGCGATTGAGATGCTATAATGCCAGACCAATTCTTTGCATTTTGTGTTGTGGGGTCAGCATGCGCGGCACCCATCATGCATAGACTTTGTGAAAATCTAACCTGTCATTCATTATGAGGTAGGCCATGCCATGTGAACAACCAACAGCAGTGGCTATAGTGTCTATAGTTACCCTTCTGTCTGTTTGGATTAAGTCTTCAACCCACTGCACATTCACCTCTGTGGCAATCTCTGTTGGCCGGCTGACGTGGTGTTCGTCTTCGATACATGTCCGCCCTTCAGAGAACTTCTGCACCCAATTGTAAACAGCCTGACGTGACATACACTTCTCACCGTAGATGGGAAGCATTTCTTTATGAATAATCTTTGAGTCCATACCTTTTGCCCATAAAAATCACACAATGGAGTGCTGCTCGAGGGTTGTACACTCACTTGGAGGCGCCACCATCTTGCAACTGCTGCTTCACTTTTTTAAACATCAATTGTCTCATGTCGAATGTCATCACCTGCCACCGGACTAATGCTGCCATCTAGTGGCGATAGCCTCAAGTGCCTCATTCAAACATGCAGTACCCCACATCAATTTGTAACTTACTTATTGACTCACCTACATACATTGTCAAACAAAATATAAGACATACAAAGGTGAAGTTGCTACTCTCCCAAAACATCAGAGGTCAGAGGGAGTGGAGGAAATTTGTCATTCACTCTTAACTTGAGAACTGGATGTAGATGAGTGGTCAGCTTTATGCTATGGCCTTTTATGTCTGGGGAAACTGCTGGTAACTCCTGGACGGCAGGAAGAGTGGCTCCCAAGCTACTCTCGATGCGGTGGCAAGAAGAGAAATGCCTGCCTGTACTAGGAATCAAAACCCAGTCATCCGACCTGCAGACATTTACTTTACTGCCTGTGCCATACCACATACTTTATTAAAGTATTTTCTTAAGCAAAAGTCAAGACAGCATAAAATGTAAAGCACACACTCTGTGTGTGGAGAACAATTTAGTTCGAGAAGTGAGAAGCATTCAAATAATGAAAAGTGGAGTGGGGGTAACAGTTATACATATCAAAACGCTATTCAAATATACAAAGTAAAATAATTTTGGTTCAACCACATAATAGAAAATATAGAGAAGAGAGAAAAGAGCTGGCAAGAAACTGAAGAGATTATTGGAAGACAGAAGAGATTGAAGATTCTTCATCCACTGACCTGTATAAAATGGAGAACATACACAGATCCACAACTCTCCAGAAACAGTTTACCCAATTCCACCCCACCAACAATCTCTGGTCTGTAGAGAATAAAACGTTCATTACCTTTTTTGGTGAGCCAAGCTGCCCTTGTACTCCAGGTGAACCACTACTCCGTCTCTCTCCAGTCTTTTGTACTCCAGCTGGCGACCTCATCGGAGAAGAATCCTGCCGCAGACTTGGGGCGCCCTGCTGCATAAGTTGTAACTGCCTCGTTAGGAATGACTGCTCATCTTCTGCCTGTGTTTCTGATTCTCGAGTCACAGGCTGTAAAGATATCCATGACTCTAATCACTCTTCCACTTTTTTTTTTAATTCGCTTAGTTGGGGGTGGAGTCCAACTGGGTCCACTTGGCACAGCGGCCACTGATTGGCCTATTGTACCTACTCCAGGTGATTATGATGATGGAGAATTTGGTGGAATGAAGTTTGGCATGAGAAACTGAAGTACTCAGAGAAAAACTGCCCCAGCACCACTTTGTTCATCACAAATACCACTTGACCAGACCTGGCATCGAACCCAGGCCGCCGGAGTGGGAGCCAGCGACTAACCGCTTGAGCTATGGCGCAGCCAATCTTCACAGCCAAACAATGCATATCATGAATCTCTGATATTTTCTAGCTGTATTTTGTGGAACCTCTGTGGTTAAATCTTGATTGTAAACATAAACTCTGCAGATGGTGTATAACAATTATGCTTTTCAGAATTGTTTGGCAAAATTATGTTTAGAGATATTCCCTAATTTCATGCATAAAACATGAAGGAAGAGATCACTTAGGAGATCTAACTGTACTTGGGAGATTGATTAAAGTGGATCTAAAATAAATAGGGCGGAGGGTGTGGGTCGGGTTTGTCTGACTCTGGATGAGGACCAATGGCAGGTTATTGCAAAGATGGTAATTTCAGTACCAAGACCATATAGTGTCAGATGGAGGGCTAATCAATTATCAGTGAATTATAAAGGATTTGGAAAGAGGTAGGTGTGACTACGTACTATTCCAACATCTGCCTGGAGAGACCGAGGTAAATCATGAAAAATCTCTAAATACCCACTGTCCCAGCTGAGATTTCAGCTAAGCCCCTCCCAGACATGACTTCAGTGTTACTGTTACGCCAACCCAATTGGTGTGAACATAGTGATGAACCACCAAACAAACTCCCTGGCCTTTAGTCCACAAGTGAACTATACCGACCAAGTTTCAGTCAGGTTCCATAAAATGCAGGCAGTTTTCTTGATTATAATGAAGTGATGGAAAGAAAAACCGATATAAGGCACAAACTGCCTTCGCCTGTTTGAACATTGGGATTGTAGGTTCAAATCCATTTGAGGCATGGATGTCTGTGTGCATTTATTCTGTTTGTGCTGTCCTGTGTGCAGGTGGCCTTGTGACAGGCTTATCTCTGGTTGAAGGAGTCCTACTGTGTAAGATCAAGAAATTGAGAAAGCAGCCAAGGTCCAACAAAGGGCTGAACAAACACAGATACACGGAAAGAAATCCCACAAATGATGCAACTGACAACCTGAAGTTTCCTACTCTGCCTGCTGTCCCTTTGCTCCAGTACTCTCTAGCCAATGTCAGCCAGCCTAAAATGCTTGTTCCTAGTGTAGGTTATCACTATCAATATTCATGTGAATAGAATAAAAAGACTGAAGCAAAGAAGGGGAAGCTAAGAAGGAAGTATACCAACTCGAGGGAAATGTGGAAGATGTCAAACCATAGGACATTAGTATTTCTGGATGAACTACAGCTTCCCAAAAACTCTGCTCAAATTAGTCAGGGCATTTCATCAGAAGGTGTTGTAACTTTATTCATGCTGTCTGAACTACACCATTTAAGTAAGTAAAAGTAAAGCTATCCCTATAACAGGCCATGAATGCCCATAGGGTTGTAGGACGTTGAGGGTCCCACATTATCTAGACAATCAGCTCAAAGATGGCAGTAAGGTTGTCAGCCTTACGCGCCGGCTGCGCTTCAGTCCCCAGGAAAATTATTTAATTAATTCCTGGTACTCATTTCTGTTAGAGGCTGAGTCGACCCCAGGACCATAGTGTGGCTGGTTGGATTAGGTCGATTGAAAAAGTCCAATGACCTCATCAGGACTTGAACCCATGACCTTATGGCTTGTAGCATAGCCCCTCAACCAACTATGCTACCGCGACACCATTTAATTTACATAATTAACCACACATCTATTAATCACCAACCTAAATTGAGCTTTCCAGGATATTTTAAACTAGTGCAGCACGCAGTACCATAGTTGGTTGAAGCTGGAAGGTCTCGGGATCGAATCCCAATGAGGTGGATTTTTTCGATTTACCTAATCCTTCCAGCTGCACTATGGCCCTGGGGTCGACTCAGCCTCTAACAGAAATGAGTACCAGGAATATTCTTTGGGGTAAAGAGTGGGCAGCGCAGCGTGTAAGGCTGACAACCTTACTGTCACCTATGAGCCTACTGTCTAGAAAACGTGGGAACCTCAACATCTCACAACCCTATGGGCCTCCACGGCCTGTTACAGGGATACCTTTACTTTAATTACTTAATGCATATTTCCTTCCAGTGACTTACCTTTCTTAGAACGGGCTGAACTATAATGTCCCTATAGTAGTCATCTGGCTTCATGCTTTGCATATTCTCATGCAATATGCTTATTTTCTTCATGTTATCCCAACCAGAAGGACTACAACAGAAAATATATTATTTAAAATTCTATTTCTTGACTGTTTCAAATTCTATATTTATATTTTGGGTGCTAGGTTACAACAGGGTTTCCCAATTTAGTTTGGCCAAGGAACCCTTTCACTCCTGTCTTCAAGCTTCCTATTGCATTACTATATTTAATACTGCTTATTATAGTTCACAGTCCATCAACATTGCAAAAAATTGTTCCTTCTTTCTTACACACATTCGACACAACATGTATCGGCCCTAAATGGAGACCTTCAGGTGTCTTTCTGTGCTGAAACTGCTCTACTTCACTAATACTGTCCATTCGTTGCATATGTAACTGTGCGCTTCATGGTTTAAACCAGTGATGGGCAAACTTTTTTAGGAGGGGGCCAAAGAAAAAAGAAAAAACTTTAGGCGGGCCAATATAATTTATTAAAAACAATAATGGTAGATTTTACAAAATTCTTGTAATACTAAGCCCTATTAATGATTGAAAGATTATGAAGGAGAATGTGATGAATGAAACTGTGACTGCATTTCCAAAATTTTCTCATAATCTGGTTCGAACTGGGATGCACTGATTCTCAGAAGTGAAGTTAAATGCTCATCTGTCAGTCTGTTTCTAA